TAAAAAATATTAGCCGAATATCCAATTAAACCGTTTCAGAAAAAAAAACTTCAATTGAATGATGAATAAATACAAATTTTGTGCTAACATTTTGAGAATGTTATTAAAGATAACTTTGAACAAATGTTCTTTGGAAGGACGTTTGTTCACAACTTTGAGAACCTTGCCAGAACGTTAGCCAAAGTTCTTCGGAGAACGTTCCCTGTTAGCTGGGTGGATACTTGTCATCTACTTTTGTGTTCCATGCAGAAAGTCAGTTGGGTTTGGAACGACATGAGGGTGAGTAAGTGATGACAGAATTCATTTTTAGCTGAACTGTTTTTTTTTAATTCCTCACTGCAGGTCCAGTGATTCTGCATTAAAAGGAGTTCCATAAGTGCTCCGGAATACAAAGAATGGCATAAATGAGTGAGTGACAAAGTCACTCACAGCCGCTTCCACAATGGCCATTCAGATCCCAGAAACACACCTCCTGACCTTCCTGTCTTCTTACATTCGGGGTGCTGCAAAAGGTCAGGTTATTCCCCTTCTGTGTCCTTGGCATTGGAGCATTGATGCCCAGAGCATTGTGACAAAAAGATATTACACTTGAATGTCACATGGACAAAGGCAGAAGAGGAGAGTAAAACGTTTGTAAGAGCAGTTGCCATGGTGACTTTGACATCACTGCTTCCAAACAGGATTGGAGTTTTCTGGCCGGAATTTGTGTTTGTGCTGATGATAGAGCCTGCACTTTAGACAAACAGGAAATAGCCTTAGAAAGACTGACATGGATGGGACGTCTCCTGTGACGCTGGTAGACTTTAGAATCAAACATTAACAAATAAACTCGTCATTGAGAGTGCATGACCTAAATGTCTTTAAACTTTAACCTGTTTAAAGCCAAACTATTAAAAATCTTGGCCATGTTTTTTTTTGTAGCCTACACTGTAACAAAGAATTTGATCAATAAGTTATGACAACATTTTTTTTTTTTTTACATTGCTTTAAAGGGATACTCCACTTTTTTTGGAAATAGGCTCATTTTACAACTCCCCCAGAGTTAAACTGTTGAGTTTTACCGTTGTTGAATCCATTCAGCCGATCTCCGGTTCTGGCGGTACCACTTTTAGCATAGCTTAGCATACATCATTGAAGTGGACAAGACCATTTGCATTTCTCAAAAAAAAATGACCAAAGAGTTTAGATATTTTTTCTATTTAAAACTTGACTCTTCTGTAGTTACATCGTGCACTAAGACCGACGGAAAATGTAAAGTTGCGATTTTCTAGGCTGATATGGCTAGGAACTATACTCTCATTCCTGCGTAATAATCAAGAAACTTTACTGCCGTACCATGAGTGCAGCAGGTTGAATGATATGACGCAGCGCCTGAAAATAGTTCCGTTGTGTTGACGGAAGGTAGCCTATTTTCAGGCGCTGCGTCATATCATTACGCCTGCTGCACTCATGGTACGGCAGTAAAGTTTCTTGATTATTACGCAGGAATGAGAGTATAGTTCCTAGCCATATCAGCCTAGAAAATCGCAACTTTACATTTTCCGTCGGTCTTAGTGCACGATGTAACTACAGAAGAGTCAAGTTTTAAATAGAAAAAATATCGAAACTCTTTGGTCATTTTCTTTTTGAGAAATGCTAATGGTCTTGTCCACTTCAATGATGTATGCTAAGCTATGCTAAAAGTGGTACCGCCAGAACCGGAGATCGGCTGAATGGATTCAAAAACGGTAAAACTCAACAGTTTAACTCTGGGGGAGTTGTAAAATGAGCCTATTTCCAAAAAAAGTGGAGTATCCCTTTAACTCATCAAAATAAGTTCTGCAATTTTCAAGCTTTTTTTAAATAAGCTATACAAGATTCAACTCATCCTTTAAAGCCAGTTTAGTTGAAATGACTTAAACATCCAAGTTGATTGTACTTAAAAATGTAAGGCAACAACTTTTTTTCTTTTTTTTTACAGTGTACTCCCTGTTTGAAAATTATAAATAAATAAAAAATGTTTCCTGAAAGTTCACTTTTTATGAAATCAGAATATTTAACCAAATTATTACTTCCTCACAAGAAGGAACATTTAATCAATTCCTTGCAGTTGACTGATCTGTGGTTTTGAATCGGCAAAGAATGCTCCAACTTTGTGTTCTGTTATGGTGGAGTGATTTCATTTACACACGAAAAGTTCTCTTGAAATGGGAACCTCCCTGTTTAGGGGAAACACTGCTTGTTTAACATTAATTCTGTGATTTTGCTGGCGTGACGGTTATTTGGTTATTTGGAGGGCCTTTGGTAGGGATGATTGAGCAATGGTCTTCTAACATGATTGACAGGAGAACTGAAAAAGGCATGTTGACTGGTCTTTGGGGTCAAGGTGACCGGGCATCCCCATCTGCTAATGTCACCCGCCCTGGTGACCACACACAGACAGCAGAATTCAGCCTCCTCTCATCAGCATTCACTAAAACAGCCCTATGTGACCCTGTAGCACATTTCAGAGAATCCTGAGGCCGCCTTGTATTGTAAATAAAGGTGTTGCATGCACTCCGCTGGACATTGTGCCTTTGGTTCTGACCATTTTCACATTATAGTACAGCCTCTGGTGCATCGTTGCTGAACTGCATCAAACATGCTTCATCTATGTTGAACCGAGTCCTTTAGCTACAGTGTCGCTAGATAACTGTATTCATAATATGGATTGAGTTACTCTGGAGTACTCAGTGTACTGTGATGAGTTGAGATTGTTCTTCAATATTTTGCTTCATAAATGTCTGCAAGGATTGAATAATTGTCTGGTAAAGTCTTGAAAAATATCCACAGCTTGCACAATAGGAGACATATGGAAGAGAAATAAAGGATAGAAATCAATCCATCCATCCATGCATAAATTCATTAATTTGGGTGCTTACAGCAGGGAAAAGCAGCAAAGGTCACTGTTTTGAAGGAGACAGAAGAGTTTGTGCTTTAAGAGTTGTAATAATGAGAAGGGGCCGGGGAGATTTCATGTTAATCTGACCTCGGAACAGTGGGGAAATTTGTCAGAATGCCAGGTAGGCTTGTTATGAGGTGTAAATGTCTTGCAACCGGTATGCTCTGAAACAATAAATGTCAGGGCAAAGTATGTGTCCTCTTTGGCGACATCAAAGCATGCATCTGAAAGCAAAGCAACAGTCTTTCTTTCACAACTCCAAAAGATTTTTTTTTATAATTTTTTAGCTTATTGGGTACAGTGGTTGCTAGCACATTAAAGCTAATATATGTAATAGCCGCAATGCAAGAATATGCACCAAACTGTAAAAGAGGCCAAAAGCTCTGTGTATACAAGACAAGAAACCATTGTTGAGAAATGTTACACACATTATATACTGTAAAGTTTGGCAAGACTCTCTTCCAGTAAACATCTAACGCAGCTTAGCATGCTAGCACCCCACGCCATTTCATCTCAGGCCAAGCTCAAACAGATACTGGCGAACTTTGTAGCAGGAAATGAAAACTGCATTTTTAAAAGAGGTGGGTAAGTTTAGGTGCATCTGGTTTCGATGGATTGTCCTTCTGCCATGAATACTAATTTAATTTCAGTGCTGAGACAAACTGAAAATGCTCCCTTCCTGTCTGTTTTCATCTCTCGAGGGCTGTTGTCTTCAATTCCAGCTCTAATTTTTCTGAGCTTTTTCCGTCCAGTAAGGTCAGTCAGACCTTTTCTTAACTGCTTCCATGAGTTACTTTGAAATGTTTTTCACTATTAATTTTTTTTTTCTCCTAAAATGGTGGTGCAGGTAACAGAGCTGGTGCTTGACCGAACCTCTCTCAGCATTAGCCCAAACAATTGCATATTACTACCTAAAAAAATTTAAAATAAGAAGAGATTGCATCACTTTCTTAGTTTACAAGTCTTACGAGTCCTAGTTTTGAAACCTTGCGTAATGTATGCAACTTTATGGCATCACAAGCTAGCTTTGATGTAATGGTCTGAAGTTATTTAAATTCATAGCAATCAGCTCACACACAATATCTGTAAATAAAATCATTTTAGTGGCAGCAGCACAACAAATAGGTATTTTCAGGTATTTTAACAGATGAAAAGACACACTTCACCTTTACTCCAAATGTTTTCAGCCCAGAACGACCTTTTGTAGAAATGTGCATAATATGGCCAGATTGGATAGAGCTCTGTCGGTGGATATGGGGTAAAGTTTTACTATTTAAAAGCCATTTATGATCCTCTTCCAGTTTTCCTTCATCTCCTAACTTCATAAAGTATAAAACTGGCAAATACATTATCTGGCTTAAACTCTGAGCTGGTGTCCAGTGCTGATTTGAGACACGTGTGGATGGAATGCAGCAGAATGTGGCGTGCTTTCCTCTCTAAGCACAGCAGGTCCAGAAAACCTCGAGCCGTATACAGTATGATTTGAGTCAACTGTCTCCTTTTTTACCTCACACCCTTCCTTTTTTTCCTTCTCTGCCCCCTTCACACTGTATCTTCCAAACCGAGCCGCTCTCTTGACACCTCCGAGTTTTTTGTTGTTGTTTTGTTTTTGACTGGACTGATGTCTCAGCATGTCATTTCTTCCTCTTTCCTTGTAACACAGGGGAAAGGGATACTTGTTTGATCTTCAGAGGTCATTTCCACATCTTACAGCTCTTTCTCAACTTCAAATGACAGTGCCTCGGGGCGAGCAACTGCGACTGCAGTAAAGACAAAGCCACATGGCAGATTGAAGTCATAGACGTGTCAACAAGGACACATTTCTGTTGCATCTCGTCTTCAGGAAGCACTTGGAAATAAATCAAGATGTTCTTCCAAGACAGAAAAAAACAAAGAATTCCAGATTCAAAGTTCAAAAACCGCACCTGTTACCAGAAAAACTGAATATGCTCATTTCAGATGGAATGTGTATACTTGCCTGATTATTTTAAGTCAAAGTCACCTTTGACTTCCATTGTACAGAAAACAGCCTTTTTAATTTTGTTAATATATTAAGTCATATGGATTGGAGCAACATGAGTGCGAGTAAATTATTTTCTAATTTTTGGATGAACTATTCAGTCACTGATTGGGGATTCCTCTTTCTTATTGTCAAGATAAGAGACAATACTGTATTTCAGCCTACACAATGGTAAAGCCGACATGTCTTGACATGTCACACCCTCAGTGTGAGATAGTATGTGTGTGTGAGAGTTCCTCTAACACAAGGGCAGTTGACCAGTTGAATTGTCAGTCAGCTAATGGAGGTCTGATTAAAGTGTTGCCAAGACTGCAATTTGTATCGCTGAGACATCCTTTACTATTGGAAATGAGAGATATTACACAGCATGCATCTTTTATCCAAACAAATTGATACCTTTTATGATTTTAGACTGAAATCAAAGGCATGATAATGCATTTTTCATAATATGGCGTGGTAGTGTAAAAGGTTTGTTGTAATATGATAGCAGTTTTCTTTTACACCACAATACCATATCTACTAGGCTGACTGCAGTGGAAATACATTGTGGCATGTTGTGTAAACGCTGTTGTTTTGGTAAATACTACTGGTTTTGAAGGCGTGTGGGTCCATAACGTATACACAGTGCTGACACATACTAACCTAAATGAGCTGTTCATGGAGTACATATCCTGAGTTGTATTTTGCACTTGTGATGTGGGTGGTTTAATGAATAACTAAATCACATAGCTGAAGTGGAGAAACTAGGGAAACTATCATTTAGTTTATGCAATAGATCTATTCGGGGTAATTGGCCAAGCGTTCGTGAAATGTCATAATACAAATTGTCTGAAGTGACAGCAAATGGCACGTCCATTTTCTTGCTGTTAGGCTCTTTGACATGATTTATAATGCACCCGAATGGAGTTGTACATTGGTTTGGTTGACAGCCTGTGTAATTTAGCTTCCATCCATCGTCTCTGGATCAGCGAGCCGGCGTTGTAACTGTGACTCAAAGCCTATTTAAAGAGAAGATAAGGTCAGTGTAACAGGTCACTGTCAGCTTTGTAATCCTAAAAGAAATGCCAAGGCAATACACAGTTCAAAACAATTCAGATGAATTCTTAATGATATACAAACCTGTGTTTGTGCTAAGAAATATAATCGATTTTTTTTCCAAACGCTGCATGGTGATTAGAGTTCTGACACCTTCCACCTACTTCTTTTTAGCGTTCCCATTTTTTTGCCACCCCCTCACTGCAGCTGACATCAAAGAACATCTGTTTGTTGTGCAAACCCGCCTCTGAACTCCATGTTAAGTCGTAGCACTCGGCAATGTCAAAAGTTCTTCATTTGAGATCGGTAGCTTAGAGAGAGAGAGAGAATTGAGGTTAGACAGGCATATTCTATACTTTCTGTGTGTGTGTGTTTAGGCATGACTCTCATATGAAGAACCAGCAGTGCATCCAATCAGGGAACAGAATTCAGCTTTGCTTTTCACTGGAAATTAGGCTGCTTTTCTCCTAGCTGCAATGGGGCAGAAAAATCACAGGCCATTAGGCACAAAAACACATGAGCCCTGTTCTTCTTATTATGCTACAGTGTTCAGTTCCACGTCAGAGACATGCCCTCTCGTAATAATAAAACCGGATTTATTGCGTATAAAGGGGCAGATATAGAAGATTAAAAGCGTAACATTCCCTGATCTAGAACAAGACACACAAAACAAGCATAACAGCCTGGTGTTTGATAGGATATGCTGGTATAAAGAGGGATAGATGGATGGATGGATAAACAGATATGATATATAGATAGACAGACAGGCAGACAGATAGATAGATAGATAGATAGATAGATAGATAGATAGATAGATAGATAGATAGATAGATAGATAGATAGATAGATAGATAGATAGATAGATCTGCTTTTATTCTATCAAAAATATACAGCAAAAAAAGCAATATTTAAGATAGATTATAGAAGAAGTAATATAAATGCGATTTCTAGTTAATAAATTTCTTAATAAAAGTAAATCACTCTTTGCACCTGTAGAGACTGTATCTTAAAAGCTAATCTCATATTAAGTTCTCAGAATATATACTGAATGAACTGTAGCTCTAAGGGACATTACAAAGAGTGAAGAAGACAAGTTTTTTTTTTCTTCACTGAGGCAATTGTAAACTAATTTAGATATCATTTGAAGTCTGAAGCCATTTGCTTTGGAAGGTATCGCTTCTAACACCAAAGTAAAACAGTGACGGGCACATGTGAAGCTTTATCTCCATGGCCTTTCATACTACAATCCTCTGGCCAGACAAACACATGACTGGCTTTTGGTAGGTTGTTTGCTGTATAAATATCAGGGAGTGCACTGTCAGAGCGATGTCTAACTGAGTCATACCCCAGGTCCATTCTTGTCCCATCATATCCCCATCATTAAGGCTGGTTGCCCGGGCAGATAATAATGTGATGTGTGATCCTTATTTGAGCTATAACGGTGACGTCAACCAAATTAGTTACACTGCATTAAAAGGTCCACAGATAGAAAAGCATTAAAATGACCGAAGGTAATGAGAACTAGTTGATAATTAATAATAGGAATAACAATATTTGTTATTAAAGGATCTACATTTAGATCATTGGTTTTCAACCAGGGATGCATCAAGATAACTTACACTTATTTCAAGTAAGTTATATTAAAATAATTTAACACTAAATGCTGCCTGATTCTGCTTATTTATGGTCTCTACTGCATCCCTGGCATTTGGCATAAACCAAAAAGAAAAAATTCAGACAATTTTTGAATGTAATGTTAAAAATGACCAGTGGTGTATAGTTATCTGTATTATAGACTATTTGGTTGTCTACATTTTATGCTTAAATTAAATTCATCATTTTAATCTTAATTTATTGTACACATTAATAGTTTAAATTGGTTTAAAGGGATAGTTCACCCAAAATTTTTTATTTGATCATCATTTACTCACCCTCATCTTGTTCCAAACCTGTATGAGTTTCTTTCTTCTGTTGAACACAAAAGTAGATATTTTGAAGAATGTTGGTAACCAGACAATTCATGGCACCCATTGACTTGAGTATTTTTTTTTTTCCTACTATGGAAGTCAATGGGTGTTGTCAACTGTCTGGTTACCAAATTTCTTCAACAATATCTTCTTTTGTGTTCAGTGGAAGAAAGAAACTCATACAGATTTGGAAAAACGTGACAAACCCAAGTAATCACAAAATTTTCATTTTGGGTGAACTATCCCTAAACCCACTGACGTAAATGACGAAATCAGCACCATACGCCATTCACGCGGACCTCCTGTCTGTTCTGCAGCCAATAAAAAACGAGAGATTTTATTCTCCTGCTACCAGTGACAAAATCATTACCACGTTGGTTTTGTATTGTTTTATTAACCAGTTTCTTGTTTGACATTCATTTTTGTAATACTATCTATACGTGTACTATCTATATGCGTCTATATGCGTGTAACAAAACATTGCTAACGTGGAAATGTATTCAAATGCAGGTTTATATTGGAAAAGGAAACCTCGCCTTGATTGTGCTTCTTTACTTCAAAACGCATACGTTTTCTATTGTCACATTTCACGAAATTCAATTTCGAATGCAATTTTCCCCTCGACAATAGCTGCCTTTCCCCGTTTATTCATACAAATAGTGAAAAACAAATTAGCTAAGGTTGTATCAAAGCTTTGCTCTACTGCCATGTCAGCTCACTACTTTGCCATATATTTATTCAGTCATTTGATCTACTTAGGGGCATAAATGTCTCTTTAACAGTCATGTTTGCGAAATATGAACATGGAAATGAAATACGATACCTCCATGAATAGCCTGTCTTTTTTGTGGTACTAGGTAACGCGTGACGTCAAATAGCCTTTATGACGGGCTCAACGTAAGTGCATTAAATCTACCCCTTTTTTGATTGATGGTAAAATGAGCCAATGGGCTTGAGGGGCGTTAGTGCTAGAGCCCGCCTCTCGCTCAAGCCTGACCAATCACATGCGTGGATTCGATGTTCGTATTGTTGTGACCTTTGGAACCGCATCACCGCCCACCGCGTGCCCGTGGCGGAGGAAAACTATATATAGAGGCGGATGACAGCAGTAGGGGACGAAATTGTAAAACACCCAGATAGAGGGGGTGGAGATGAGCTTATTGGGAAGGTGAAACTGCAAATACCTTACAGAAAATTGGGAGCAAAAGAAGAAGAAAAACAAACATTTCAAAAGTCTACCAACTGGAATACCTTTATGTTTAACTTAATGTGAAGAAAGTATTTATATCAGAATTTTTCTATTTTGCACTAGTTAAATCTATTGCAACTACTGAAAACCGTCATTTTGTAAACTCAAGTAAGTGTTTCATTCATTGCATTACTATGTTTGTGATGTGTCCTGTTTTTTAAGTGCTCACTAATAGTGTTGATCATTGCAAAAGCGTTTTCTGTAATATAGTTTAGTGAAACCTTAAGAGAATTTAAATGAAGGCAGCTTGCTGCGTCAGTCGTGGGCTGTAGACTTAGCTGGAAGGGATTGCCAACTATGGCAAAACATCGTCTTACACCAGAAGATATACGATATTTACATAGAAATGCAAACGAACAAACGCCATATAATATGACATAGATAGGCTACATTCAATTTGTCAGCATATCTAGTTCGTATTTCACAGAATATAGCATATACTGCTGTCTTGTCTTAGATGTATACCTTGTATGATGCATTTAATGCATTACTGATATATCTGTTTTCAAACTGTACATTATGTCCTCGCTGTCGCTTTACCCTGTGAACTGGGTGGGAGCGACGATACGATCTCTGACGGCTTATACTCGCTTTAAATATACAAACGAAACATATTTTGATCTTATATTAGGTAACTAACGCTTACTATGAACATTTTATTCGTTCGATTTAAGATTCGAGCGCATTCATCCCCTTATTTGCTTAATCGACGGTCGTGCGCTTATGTGCGCGTGCTGACTGGTTTATATTTCTCCTCGTGACACGTTCAGGTTTAATTATTAAAGTCTGCATTCTTGTGTCTAATTTCCTCACGACACCGTCAATTTTACAAACACGGATGGCATGCTAAAGATAAAGTTCGATTATGACGACAGCAGTGGATTGGTTACAGTTGTGCAGGGTCTAGTCAGGGCAAGTTAGATAGGCTATTACATAACACTATCAGCTCCGCGAGTCCCAGTGCATCCTTCCTATAATGGTAAACTGCATTTATAGGATTACCTTAGTGTACCTTACAGAATTTGGTGTCTTGAATATAACATGTGTGGAAAATTCAACCAGTGCATTGAAGCGTGGTTTTAGGGATTGTTTGTGTATGCATATGCAAAATCTAATCTTACTTGTGAGCCCATGAATGCGCAAGCTGTTTGTTCAAAACATTCAAGCTATTGAACTAATGAACTCTTTATTAAGAAAACTGACAGATGGAACCATGTTCCAATGTATTATTTCCAGCTGAGAATAACAAGCCAGGGTTATTAATGCTAGTTGTTTTTTTGTTCTTCTCCTCTCTAGGAATCGGATCAGACGTTTGCAGACCGAGACGTTCCCTCTGCAACAGCACTTTGTTTTGAACCGTCTCCCCCAAGTTTCTGTTTATTTGCCTGGCTCCAGCTGAGCCTTGCCCTCTGGTGGCTTACAACACAATACGAGAATTCAAACAGCCAACGGTGATACTCCAGGGCGGCGCAGCAGCTATGCAGCTTGAAATCCAAGTAGCACTCAACTTCATCATTTCTTACTTGTACAATAAGCTGCCCAGGCGACGTGTCAACATCTTCGGCGAGGAGTTGGAGAGACAGCTGAAACAGAAATATGAGGGACACTGGTACCCGGACAAGCCATACAAAGGGTCTGGATTCAGGTGTATACATGTCGGGGAGAAAGTGGACCCAGTTGTAGAGAAAGCAGCCAAAGAAAGTGGGTTGGACATTGAGGATGTCCGCAACAACCTGCCTCAGGACCTCAGTGTCTGGATTGATCCTTTCGAGGTTTCTTATCAGATTGGGGAGAAGGGACCCGTCAAGGTGCTCTATGTGGATGACAGTAATGAGAACGGACTGGAGTTGGACAAGGAGATCAAGAACAGCTTTAACCCAGAGGCCCAGGTCTTCATGCCCATCAGTGAGCCTGTAGGCATGTCCCCAACCTCCAGTTCCCCGTCCCCGCCGTTCGGTCAGTCGGCGGCGGTCAGCCCCACCTTCATGCGCCGTTCCACGCAACCATTAACCTTTACCACTGCCACCTTCGCCGCCACCAAGTTCGGCTCCACGAAAATGAAAAGCAATGGGCGGAATGCTAACAAGGTGGCCCGAAACTCCCCCA